TCATACTATAAAATATTGTTTTGATGTGAATGAAATTGTTTTATACAGTTGTTCTTTAATTATTGACATCTCATCAATAGACCAGATTTCATGTCTCCGTGCAGATACCTACTTGTTGTCCTATGTCATTTAAAAGATATTTACAACCTTAATAAATAACCACATCATACTCAGACATGCTGAAACTGTCGGTCATGACCGGGAAAATTTGTCTGGACCGGTAAAAAATTGGACCAAAAGCGTTTTAAGAGCAGCAATTTTGAATTTACAGTTGACATACTTCACTAACAAAATTATATAAAACCCTAAGCATTTTTCCCTTCCATTTCAAACCTATCACATTCTCAGACAAGGTAAGCTACCTAATCGTACTGGTAGTATCTGTCTCAAACGCACAGGGTGATTTTCGGTCTGACAAAAATCCATTCAATCCGGCACATTTTTCATTACTGCTGGTCCAAATGTCCGGCCATTTTGAAAAGTTTTTAGCATATCTGATGTCTTACATATGTCCAAAAACATATTGTTTTATTATAAAGTACATGTTTTCTTTTTTTGTAGGTCAAAAAAGTTACATGTTTATCATCTAAACCCAATATAAAGGTGCAAATAATGTCAGAGGTATGCTCTCGAAAATATCCAATGCATGGATTAGAAACAATGTTTGGTAATTTTTATGGTCCCACATGAAGAAATGTGTATCAAAGTTTCATTATCCTGGAACCACTTGTCATAAAAATTAATTCATAGTCTAACTCCAAATGTAACTGTCACAAATGGAAATTTTGAAACTGTGAAAGTGTTGTGCTCACTTTGCAAATTCAATAAGTGCTGATTTCCTTTTTTTATAATTTTATAACTTTTGCTGCAATTTTAGTTTGTTTGTCACTGAATTTTATAAATACAAATGCAGCATGCTAACAGTAAAAGCAACATAAAATGAACTATTTTCTATTAGTGGTGAAAAAATTATGTCAGAAATACCAAACACTATGCATGTTATGTATATGTTTCAGTTGATAGCAAAAGACCCTGTTACCTACTGCACTAAGGACTTGGTCAAAAATAACCTTTTTTTTTTTTTTGGAACATTTTTCTGGGAAACATAAGTTACCTATACACACATGATAAATATTGCATGTAGAAGTAAATTTGAGGCAGCCATGCATTTTTGTTCTACACACAGGTTATAAAAATTGACTACAATTTCAAAATTCATTCAGTAATATTTTTTAAACTACAGCATGTGAAATTCACCTCCATATTAGGTTGGGGTAATATGCAGAATGCTTTGTATAACTATTTACATTAAATGTATTCTAAGGATAACATTTTATCTTACATAATCTACTCGCCCAGAATTTTCTTTGGTCAGCAAGCATTTAAATTGCTGGGTGCCATTAAATGATATAATTTGCAAAATTATCATCCCTGTTCCTGTCACTGGCATATCATATAATATTATGCAGGGTGGCCAAAGGAAAATTTGTGAGAAGTTCCTTTCATATTATGTATCATAGGTTAGATTTTTTAATCATCTTTAACTAAACTAAAAATAGTTATTATGGAAAAATCATATTTTTTAGGTTATGTAAGCTAAAATGTTTACTTGTAAATACATGTTACAATTGTACAAAGCATTCTGTATATACATGTAAATTATGTAACTATTTTGACATATAAATAAATAGATAAACATGTACATTATAATAAAAAAAGTTTTGGGACACATGCATGATATGGTCATTTATTTAGGTTGTAAATATCATTGAAATGACAAGACACAACAAGTAGGTATCTGGATGGAGACATGAAAACTGGTCTATTGTTGGGATGTCAATAATTAAAAGAATATCTGCATAAAACAATTTCATTCACATCAAAAAATATTTTATAGTATAACAACATCATAGGAAATTTATTCTGAGAGATAACAGGTAAACTAATGTAGATATTTCTAAATTTGGGTGTTTGATAGTACATTGTTCTGGATCAGTGACCATGCAATAGCCCATATCACATATTTTCTTATAATGTTTAATTACTTTTGTCTCCAAAATATACAAATTGATTTAACAATGTCACTTTAAAGTTCAAAGCCTCCTCTTTAATATAAGATAAAGCAAAAACTCCTGTCCATTTGGAGACATTGAGAAAAATTAGATTAAAAGGGTGGGGTGTCTATCATTTTTAAAAAAATGACAAGGATTTTTCAAAGTAAAAATTAAGTGCATTTTAAATATGCCAGACCATTTTCAGTGTGATAGTTGGGTTCCTGAAATGTTAAGATATAAAGTCATGAAAGCTACAAAGCAATGGGATATGCAGGGCTATTGTTATAGTGTTTTTCTTAACTAGGTCACCATGACCTAGATTCAAGTGAGGCACAGCAAGCCCACAGCTGGGTCCAACTTTGGAGTGTCATAACTCTGAAACCAGTTGAGATCTCAATCTAAAATTTTAGGTTTTTTCTAGTCCCTATAATATCTACAAAATATGTGAAAATCAGCAACATTCTTGACGGAGGGTACCCTCGCTGGATGAGTTGATATGGAATGACCCAATCGACGTTCATTGTAAAGACACGAGCGCACCAGGGCCCGGTTGCACCAACGGGGCGTAAATCTACTCGGCTACGACTGTCGTAAACCGCAACGCCTGGCGCCCGTGTGCCAGGTTTACTCTCCCTGCTTACGCCCGTTGCACCAAGACAAAAACTGATCGTCGTAACTACGCCCAAGTAACGCTCCGTTGCGTCACTGGCCAACAATACGTGAATGGTATAATTGGGCAAATGAGGTGATCTCAGCTGCAGTCATTATGGAATGATGACAAATAAACACAAAAGGAGCATTTCAGAGACGGAGAAATTCATAAGCTACATTATTCCATTTTGATTTAGTAATAAGAACGTTAAAATACGTTAACATTGCTGTGGCCTTGGATATATAGCAATAAAATCGTAAATATATTCCGAATCAAAATATTATTATAATATGCTAATATAGTATGCTGCTGTAAATGAGAAAAACGCGTTGGAGGAAGTACGTATTTCTATTAATGGATTTGAACACCTTCACATTTGTTATTGAAACTTTTGAATCTGAAAATAATGCAAAAACGCCAACATTGCTCTCTTTTTATATTTTTACAACAGTGCCGACGATTTCATGACCTTCTTATCTATGGTTACACCGTGAGAGATCATTTAATTCAATCGAGCTTACATCCTGGAGATTAAGAAATACAAGAGACCTAATACACATTATATATGAACCTTAAAAGTTTGATATTTTAAGCTTTCGTCTCTATGTTTGTATTAAGTCAAATATTAATGATATAAAATGTGAAGAAAGAATGACTATAGTTAGTTATGATTTGTCAAAAATTGTGAAAAGGAAAAGAATTAAAGAAACCGTACTGCTGAGAGCCAAGACGTACCTACATGTGTGGTAAGATTTAATTTGAACATACCGTGTATGCATATACAGGTACATGTACATGGCTACACATATAATGTATTTAGTAATCATATATATATATATATAATTAGTTTTTTAAAAACCAAGCTATACAGACGGAAGATTTGAGTAAGAAACTAACAAATAACAACCCACATTTTCTACGTTAACTACGATAATTGTCATCAAACTCTCTCTGTGCTTGCCTAGCCATAGTGGAAAACGAGCTACGACCGACTTACACCACCTAGCTGGCAGGCGTACATTTACGACTAAGTTAAGACCGACGTAAACACTATTCTAGTTTGGTGCAACTGGCTTTACTCGGGCGGAGCGATTTGCGCCCGGTTTACGCCGGTGTGAACGGACCTCGGTTCCTAGGAACGGTGGTCCTACGGACCGCCGTTCCTGAGGAATAGTAGTCCTAATGGGACCTGCATTCCTGATATAATAAAGGGTAGGACTTCTATTCCGGGCGGACCTGCATTACGTTTACATTAGTCAACGGAATGAAGGTCCGCCCTATAACTATGTCCGACCATTTAAACTAGTGGATAATGACTATTGACAGTAATATCATGCTTTAGTGAGCACATATAAGTACCCCAGTTCGTCTACCTGGTGTAGTGGTCAGGCTGTGCAGTGTAATGGATGTTATACAGAGTAATTGTGTAAGTGGATGGAGGTTCGAATTTCGTTTACAGAAATAAAAGTATGTTTACTTTTCGTGTGAATTTTTTTCTTTTGTTTTATCCTGGTCGTCATTTTTGCAACGTAGCAAATTTTTGATTGGTTACAGACATAACCAGATGTCAGACGTTACCTTGTTCTACTATAAATACCGCTCATATATGAATACCACACCATCACAAGACGTTTGATATGGAAGGGACAAGCAGCACCCGGACCAGGCCCGAAGTTGAAGTTATTTTCCAATATCTTCAGGAGGGCACGTATGCCATCGAGACAACACCAACACAGAAAAGAGTTATTCAGAGAACAAGCAAGTCTAATTATAAAGTAAACTTTCAATTTTCATGATGTTTAATATGCAATATTATTAGAGGTCACACTACGTTATACGCAGATATATAATTCCTGGGATGTGTGTACAATGGTCCTATGTACCTTGAATAAATGTCCTGCAGGGGATTACTATTTAATGGGTATTTATGCCCGGGGGACTACCATTTCTGGGATTTTAGGTCCGGGGACTACCATTTCTAGGATTTTAGGTCCGGGGACTACCATTTCTAGGATTTTAGGTCCGGGGACATTCAACTGATGAGTTATAAGCTTTTGGTGAATTACCCCATGAATCAAATTGATGCATATTTTACTTATAAAGCATTGGTTTAATATAGTGTGACCGTAATATGTACACTGTTTGCCTGGATTATACCATTTACTGGTGGTGCGCCTTGTACATTTGTATACTTCGTAGTCAATAACCATTTATATTAAAATTGAATGCAGGTGAACTGTGATTAACGATGCAAAAACACTTACAGGGGTATGGTATCTAAATTAATTTTACAGGTACTTACCGTGGGAACAAAAGTGTTGAAAAGAAATTTACGAAGGAGTGACAGAAAGGGGGGCAAACAAGAAAACCCCTGGCTGGGGCCCTACGTTGTGAAGGGGATATCCAAATCTGGATCTTACATCCTCCAGATTGAAGGCGGATGCACACTGAAAGGCGCCGTAAACAGGGCAAATTTGAAAGTTTATGTTGCAGATGAATAGATAAAGAACTGAAATAAATATGTGAAAAACTGAAATAAATATATGCAAATGTAACAAGTGTTATTCTTCATATACCTTTTTATTCCATTGTATTTGTTTAGGTGAAATATTTTAAAAGTAATGGTAATATTATATTAGTTATCTATCTATCTATCACTCACTTTAAGTGCGAGAGAAAAATGGTAGCGGACATATATTCCTAGTGTAAATCAGGATAACAGGTCCCATCCGGACTTAGATTCCTGGCGGTGGGACATGCATTCCTTGGTAACTGTTGTCCTACGGACGTTAAATCCTAGTAACGTATATCCTAGGACCTCCATTACTAGCAACGCTAGACCTAGGACTTACGTTCCCAGGACTTAGTGTCCGGTCGGACTTACGTTACTAGGACTACCATTCCGTTCACACCGGCGCAACTGCTACGCCTCACTTACGACCGGTTGGTGCAACCGGACCCAGGGCTCCGTATCTCGAAAGGTTCGCTATGCTGCGCACGTGCGCAAGCGTCTCGATTCCATGGCCCCGTATCTCTAAAGAATCGGTTATGGAATCGAGACATTTGTGCACTTGTACAAGCGTCTCGATTCCATGGCCCCGTATCTCGAAATAGAATCGGTTATGGAATCGAGACGCTTGCGCACGTGCGCAACATAGCGAGCCTTTCGAGATACGGAGCCCAGGTTCGCTATGTTGCGCACGTACGTAAGTGTCTCGATTCCATAACCGATTCTTTTTCGAGATACGGGGCCATGGAATCGAGACGCACTTTCGAGATACGCAGCCCTGCTATCTCGAAGCCTTAGCAAACGCAACGCAATTATAACCTCAAACTCTACTAAAATGCGATTGCCGCATAAAGTGAAGACGTCATAACACAATTACACAAAATGTAATTATTTTCACCATGACGCAAACCAAGAGGTTGTTTTTATTTATAGGAATATCATAATTACAAATACTGATATTTGAAGTATTTGACACCAATAAAATGTCAAAAAACAATTCAATAAGCGAAGCTTGAACTGACACAATTACTGACACATTGGTGAGTAGTGTTCAGTCTCACAATAATAGACATTGAGGAAGGTCACGTTGCTTTGTTTCTGCTTTTTCATTTTGTGTAGAGAATGACACTTTTAAATTTATTATTATTATGAATAGACTACAGAGATGAATTAAATTCACCAGAAAATATAAAATGATGTATGAAATGTTTAATTTTGAAATTTTTCTGCATAATAAAACATGACTTTAGCATTCTTCGCGTGAATTTAGTAAGGAGGAATAGGGTCACGCGACAAGGTTATTTTCAGTTGCACCCTGGATTACGCGCGCTTGCTCCGCAAGGTGTCGCCTGTGGTGGTGGGCGGCACAGCCCATATGGTTACTGGGGCGAAGGTGACAGGTACTTCCAAACATTTTTTCATAACTGTCATTATTCCTCATTCTATTCACAATTTGATATTTACGGCAATGAAAAATGTGGCACTGGTAAAAGTGGGTCTAGGTGCATTGACAGGCCGCACAGGTGTCCCAATTAACCGCCGCCAGAGAAGAGACCCCAAGCATTAAACAACACAACCTGTAGATATTGGAAAATTGGCAAAAGTTAAGCAACTGAGGCTTCATTAGATTTGGGCAGAAATCGAGAGTAATATCCAGTGACATGCCAAACCCCTAAGTTCACGTCTTGGCCCTTGACACCAGTAACGCACCCCATAGTCAAGAATCTGAACAAATCAATGTTTGGCAGGAATGCTCTATTTTCTACAGGCGTTTTGTGATTTTATCAACTTGATTGTCAAGTGCCAGACCGTTTGTTCCGAGGTCCTAGTAGCAAACTTTATCAGATAACAATCTGACACTAACCATGCTGCACTAACAGCGCTGTAAACCCAGTTATCAATGCTGCCATCTTTACCTGTATCTCTACCGGTATTATACCAGTGGTGTGTTTGATATATTTCAGTAAGGAAATACGCTGTGATGCTTATAATTATTTGTAATACGTTAGCATCAACCTGTTAATAAAAACTTGGAACCTTTCAATATTATTACAATATAACAGTATAATGATGGGAGCTGTTATGATTAAATGCTTAGTTAGAAGAAATAATAAAAACAGATTATGTGAAATATAAAATAAATTGATTTTATTTGAATTATTTATTTATTTATTTTTCAAACCAATTAATTATCAAACATGAAGCTTATTTTTAGAAACATCAGATATTACTGCAATATAGCACTGCTGGTACACAGATGTACAGTTCTAAAATGCAAATACCAAGTACCTTTCATACACCACTGATGAGATGTGAATAATCACATGTATAAAATAGTAAAAATATCACAAAATGTGTGTAGGAAAGATATTTCTACAAGTAAACTCATTAATCAGTCAGGAAACTTCATAATGCACTCAATAAATGTAGAAATTTGAGCAATAGAAATTCTACATACAGACATGACAGATTTACCATACAGGTATATTGCAATCAACCCTAAACTGAACGGGCATAGAAAGAACAAAGTGAATCTCCCTCCCATTAAAAATGAATAAAAAATAAAAAAAAAACAGAAACTGTCATTCTAAATACTGAAAAACAATGGCACCTTGCAGCCTTCACTGCCTCACTATTTGCAGACAATGTTCTAGTCACTGTAACTGTGTACTTTTGAGGAGGCATAGACGCAAGGATAACTCCTTTGAAGTATATTGTGAAGGTCTCTTTTGTCATAAATCTGCCACATATAACCTGAAAGTACATATTGCGATTCACATTGCAGCAGCTTGTCTTAGTAAGGACTCAACCAGTTGAAAACTTGTGGCACAGCTTCAGGGACAGGATCACACCAACTACCTTTGCTGTGATGATGGATCTACATTATCTTGTCCTCCTAGTTTCTCTAATACCATTTCCTCTTGTCTTTGCTCACATCAATCTCTACAGCTTTGCCAAATGCTACACAGTTTTTGCATCTGAAAGTATACAGCAAAAATTGTAATAAAGCACTATCACTTTACTTGTTATATATTGATTTCAGGGCGAGAGAAAAAGGCAGAAACCTCATATCATAATCAAGATAATTGAAAATCAAATATGCATAATCAAATAGCTTTAATTGTACATACAAGTGATGATTTAATCTTTTAAACTTTAGCATAAATTTTGACTTTCTCTTGTTAAAGCATAGCCACTTTTTCAAAATGTGCTTGAACAAATAATAATAATAATAATAGTAAACAACCTGCACACATGATGGAACATGGAGGTAAATTGCCACAAAAATAAGTTGATACGTACTTGGTAGCCTGAGAAATAATATCAGGTATTAATTTAAGCAGCAATAATACCGCAGAGTTAACAACGACACAGCATAGGGTGTTATCAGTTATGCAACAAAATTCCATGCATTACTTGCAGTGGCAGTGTTCTCCTCAACCTATCGTGCACCGCAGGTTTTGATTTTCAGTGTCATCGAAATTGTATATTATTGTTAGTTTGACCTATGTATATGCTTTTCATATAATATTGTTTGGAAAATAACTGACTAATTTAATTATGCTTTTGCAACATGAAATTATCATTAACTTTGCCGGTTCACGTGTACACAGTACCTTGCCACGCTCGGCTGTCACCTTGATTGGATAGTAAACGATTGTCGTAAAATTGCTAAATGATATTAAAATCGGGTACATAAACTTAAAAACCACCTAGGACAACCTAAGACTGCCACATTAATCCAATACAATGCAAAAATAAACTATAACAAGTGGTTAAAGCCTTCAAAACGAATGTCGTAAAGTCCCCATATACCTCCATAGAGACAATAAAATAGAATGAGCTTCTGAAACAAAACTCAGCCAACTTAAACATAATAATCGAAATAAAATACTGCCGGGCATCGGAGCGGCCTAAAACTTGGCATGCTTACCGCAAATACTGCAGGCTACATCATCCCGTCGCTCGTTTGTAAATTCCGTGCATGGCATACGCACAATCAAACCGTATATCCAAATTGCACCTCTGATGTTTGAATTGGTCCTCTCTAACCTACCATTACGAAAAAGAAGCCATGCCATTGGACAATGCGACCTCTGCGGTTACGTCATTTCCTGAATTGGATTGTAGAGAGGACCAATTCAAACATCAGAGGTGGAATTTGGATATACGGTTTGATTGTGCGTATGCCATGCACGGAATTTACAAACGAGCGACGGGATGATGTAGCCTGCAGTATTAGCGGTAAGCGTGCCAAGTTTTAGGCCGCTCCGATGCCCGGCAGTATTTTATTTCGATTATTATGTTGGAACTGGATTTTTCTTGTTTCAGAAGCTTATTCTATTTTATTGTCTCTATGGAGGTATATGGGGACTTTACGACATTCGTTTTGAAGGCTTTAACCACTTGTTATAGTTTATTTTTGCATTGTATTGGATTAATGTGGCAGTCTTAGGTTGTCCTAGGTGGTTTTTAAGTTTATGTACCCGATTTTAATATCATTTAGCGATTTTACGACAATCGTTTACTATCCAATCAAGGTGACAGCCGAGCGTGTACCTTGCTATCAGTGCTGCTCTTTTCTCCCCAACTCGCCACTGACAGGCTAACCACATCGTTCCAAAACAACGTTGGTATGATCCTTTACTTTTGGTGTAGGCAGTTTCGCCCCGGGGACATCGTCTTCGGTTAAAAACAACGTATCGTTTTCACCCATCTTTGCATTGCTCCTGTACAAAATGTCCGCTTGACGCCCGCCCAAGGGAAAAAATCGTAGCACGTTGGTAGTTACGAAAGACCTGTGACGTGTAACGCGCGCAAGGTTATTGCGTGGGATGTGAGATTCTGCGCACAATTTGCACGCAAACAGCCCTTAAGAGCCCGTGCGGCCGGTTGTGACAGAGGCTAAAATTAGTTCTTAGGGAAGTTGACTCTTTTTTTTTTTAATTTTGCTTTATATATTTTTGCCAGAAGTTTTGTTTTGTTTTAGCA